TGGTAAACACCCTTCCAGATTCCCTGGTTTAATCTGGGTGTCTCAGATCGAGCTCCTGACCTTGCTCTATCTGAGATAGATCAGCCCCAGATGACTTCTCCCAACTGCAGTGCTAACTGAGATATAAGAACTTTCAGGCCAGGTGCAGTGGCTTACGCCTGAAATCCCAGCACTTTGGGAGGTCGAGGCAGGCAGGTCACAAGGTCAGGAGTTCAAGACCAGCCTGATCAACATAGTGGAACCCCATCTCTACATAAGATACAAAAACATTAGCCAGGCATGGTGGTGCATGCCTGTAATCCCCAGCTACTCCGGAGGCTGATGGTGTGGGGAGAATCACTTGAACCTGGGAGGTGGAGGTTGCAGTGAGCCGAGATCGTGCCACTGTACTCCTATCTGGGCACCAGAGCAAGACTCCGTCTCAAAAAAAAAAAAAAAAAAGAACTTCCAAAGGTAAAAATGTTAACACCTAACACCGCAAAGAAAAATAACACAATTCGGTGGTGGAGGAAATGAAAGGGTGGGTGTGAGTCTTGTCAACCAACACCTGCCCTTGGGAGAATCTTCCCTGGCCTGTGCTTATCACAGATTGGTGGCAGTGGTGTGTACATATGAAGACAGCAGGTATGGGTTTTGTATTTGCTTCCTTGGATACTACGTCTGGTGAGCTCAGCAATAAGAACTATCCTTTATCATGGTACCCAGCTGTTACGTACTGGAAGAGCAGCCCTATCTCCCACAGAGTCTGCTATTTGCTGAAAGCAGAACGTTCATCAATCAGCCACCCTTCTCTTTAGGGTACCTGCTGCCTGAGCATGATGAAAGCATCTCCACCCCCAAGCCCCACCCTTTCATTCCTTCCACCCAATTCTGTTATTTTTCTTTGTGGTTAACATTTTACCTTTGAAAGGTTTTATATCTCAATTTTGAATTTTTATCTGTTATACTTTGCTCTTCCCCCAGCTAGAAAAGGTGAAGACATTGATGTAGATGTACACAGCCTCCCACGGCTGCCGTCCCAGTGCACCTTCCTCCCAGTGAGGTTCTCTGTCTGCCATTTCTGCCTCGTCTGGGTTGCCGTCCCGTGTGTTCTGTTCCCCAACTCCCATCCCTATGTTGGTTTCAGTCAACACTTTTATCAGTGCTCACTGCTGGCCCATTTTCTTTGGGTTCTCCAGTCATTTCTTAGGATGGCCAAAGGTCATCCTCTGGTATTTTCTCCAAAAAAGGATTTACCTACTTGTAAGTTCAAAATGTTTTTTCCCTTGGCTAAGTACTTGAACAAGTGTTTAGTTGATAGAAATTCCTGGGCTGCATGTTCTACCATTCTTTCTATCTGTATCAGCATCACTCACCCCAGTGCCTGTAGGGAGAGGCTGCTACAAAGACATCTGCACAGCCCAAGCTCTTTTCCCATTATCCGTGCTGGCTACCCAAAGCACGTTCAGCTTTGTCTTTGAAACCCGGTAACCTTATCAGGACAGGCCTCTGCACTCCTTATTTTGCACCAGTTTTTCTTGGGGCTTTGCTTTTCAATCTGAGAATAAGATCTTCCATCATTTCAGTTTAGGGTCTTGAATTTAGATTCAAATGCCTTTTCTTCTTCTTCTCCTTCTTCTTCCTTCTTCTGTCTTCCTTCTTCCTTCTTCCTTCTTCTTCCTTTTTTTTTTTTTTTGAGTTGGAGTCTTGCTCTGTCACCAGGCTGGAGTGCAATGGTGCAGTCTCGGCTTACTGCAACCTCTGTCTCCTGGGTTCAGGCGATTCTCCTGCCTCTGACTCCTGAGTAGCTGGGACTACAGGTGCACACCATCACACCCAGCTAATTTTTCTATTTTTCTTTTAGTAGAGACGGGGTTTCACCATGTTGGCCAGGTTGGTCTCGATCTCTTGACCTCATGATTCGCCTGCCTTGGCCTCCCAAAGTGTTGGAATTACAGGCTTGAACCCACGCCCTGCCAGTGCCTTTGCTTTTACATCACTTTAGTTCTTTTCTTTGTGAGTCTTGTGCTTCTAACCCAGCTCAGACTCCCTGACCTTCAGAAACATTGACCTCCTCATTGGAAAAGTGGAAAAAATAGAGAAAGCCCCCTCCTGTCTGCCTCCCAGGGCTGCTATGAGACTCAGGATGACAGGAACGAGATCACTTTGTCATTTGCAGTGCATGACATGAATGCCAGCTGTCGATCCTAGAAGGCATCAAGGTGACTACAAGCATTCTTGTAGTCACCGCATCTGTTGAGTACTGAAAATGTGTCACAGGAACTGTGACTGCTTGGCTTGGGCACACAGAGCAGTGCAGGTGGCTGAGCTTGGATGAGAGGCTGCCATGCTCATGCTTCCTTTGCTGTCATTCCCCTTTTCTTTGTTCTTAAGCTGACGACAAAGGTAGCCACTCTCCTGACTACTAACAGTGTAGGTTTCTGTTTCTTTTTTTGAACTGTATGTAAATGGAATCCTACAGTATCCCATTGTTCTAATATACCATAGTTCATCTGTTCTGCAGTGGGCATTTGGGTTGTTTCCAACGTGGAACTAATGGAAATAGTGTTTCAGTGAACTTCCTTGATAATGTCTTTGGTGAACACATATGCATATTTTTTTGTTACATACTTATGATTGGAATTGCTGGGTATTAGAATGTGTATGTCTTCAGCTTTAACAAATACTGCCAAAGAGTTTTCCAAAGCTGTTGAACCGAGTTAAAATCTTGTTCTCAGTATACAAGAGGACCCATTGTGCCACATTCTTGCCAGTGAGTGAATGGTGCTTTGCATCTTCATTCTAGCCCGTGTATCAGGGTGTCTAGTGGTGGGTGTCATTTGCCTTCCCTGACGGCTACATAAACTGAGCCCTTTTTCATATGTGTACTAGCCATTTATTCATTCTCTTTTATGAATTGTCTATTCAAGACTTTTGCCCATTTTTCAACTGGGTCTTTTTCTTAATTGATCTGAAGGATTTTTTGTTGTGTTAAATCATGTTTTGGATACAAACACATTACTGGTAGTACACGTTACAGGTACTTATGTGTTGCAAACATGTTGTTGTGTTCTTGCAGTTGCCTTCCGGAAAACAGCAGTTGTTAAGTTTTATATGGTATAATTCATTAGTTTTCTTCCTTCATGGATAGTCCTTTTTGAGTTCTGTTTAAGAAATCTTTGCCTAACCTCATTCTTCTTTTCTTTGATGGTTAGAAACGTTTCATGAGAAAGCACTGTCTATAAAATGCATAACAGTTGACACCACCTTCTTCCTCTTTGTCCTGACGGAGCCGTCATTTCGCTAATCCCAAACACTCCTGCCTCATAAATTCTCCCCCAGGTCAGCTTTGTCTTGTGAGCACATGTCTGCACACGGGTGCCGCACTCTCAAGGAGCTCTCAGGTCAGAGTGCAGGGAATCAGACGTTTGATGAGGTGCATTCGGTCTTTATAGGACCAGCTGTGCTGCGCTAGGATTCTCATCTTTTTACCATTCCTTTGAGAGGTGAACAATCATGGGAACATACAGGCTTTTGTGAAACCCATGTGCAGTATTCCACTTGAGTCATCCACTTCTTCAGGGGCACAGATCAGCTCCGACATACTTGAAAAATGACAAATAGCTGTGGGCTTTTCTCAGCTCTGAAAAGCTCCCTCCAGCTCTGCCTTCCCTCCCTTGCTCTTATTTTTGTCCCTTCAACTTCTAAAAATTTTAGACAGCACAAGTTGCGTGTCTATTCCATGCAGATGTTTGTGATTACTTGGAACAGCAGCCCTCTAAACTGAGCATGGCGCACCCTTTGCACACCACGTGGTGACCACGCTGCAGCAGCCACAGACGCTCCTTGACCTTTATCCGGCCCGTTTTGAAGCAGCGGGTCCCTGGCCATACCCTGGAGGGTGATGTCTTCCTTCTCCAACTTGGACCTTGGAGCCATGATGGGGTTTGTCGTCCTGGAATCACTGCATCTTTAAAAGATCTTTAAGTACATCTGTTCTCAGTTTTCAGACCATGAGGCCAGGATTGGGTGCAAGTGGTTTATCTGGGAAGTGATCCCAGCAAGCGCGGTGAGGGGTGAGGGAGAGAGAAGTCAACAAAGGTGCATTTGTGAGTTAGTGACTGCTGTTGGCAGCGAGGCCAGCCCCCAGGGCCCCCTGAGAGGGGTGTGGAACTTGCCTCAGTGTCATCTCCCTGTCCCCGGGGCAGGATGGGGAGTTACCCAGCTCCTGTCCCTTATGGTTGAGGTTGCTGTCCACATGAGTCCTTCTAAGAGGGGACACTGGCTGTGTCTGCCTCCGTGATTCTGATAAATTGTCTCCTGAGTATTTGCCAATGCCCAGATTTCCTGATGATACAATTAGGAGTCTGTGTGTTTAAATGCCAGTTGAATTATTTCAATTGTACATTTGTAGATGTTCTGAAAATTCTGTAAGTGAAGTACTATAAAAAATTGTGCACAGCTCAGCTGAGCTAGAAACAGGTGACCACAGGGAGAAAGAAGGTTGCCCCTGTAACCCTGTGGGGGTACAGGCCCTTCGCAGCCCCTTGGGCTGTCACATGCTGGCCTCACAATGGCTGCCTACCCATCTGGTCTTGAATTCAGGGCTGCCTCTTCCAGCAAGGCCTCCCTGATGAGATTTGGTTAGATCCTTTTACCGTCTGTCCCGGACAGTCCCTGGTATCTGTCTGAACCCTCACCGCTGTAAATGGAAGATGTCTGTCTGCTCATGACTGCTGGGAGGCAGGCTCCTGGCCTGTGCTCTGCCTCTGATACCTCCTACGCCCTCTGTGGTTGTTGGAGCTGTTGAACTCAGCCCCGTGAGACAAGCCCTCCTCGGAGTAGATGCACCAGTTTAAGGGATGCACTTATTTTTTGGACCTACAAACTCATGACCCTCTGGCTTCCCCACACGTTTTGAATCCCACGTTTGAAATAGTGGATGGGCCACACCTCTGAGCCCAGCTGTGACCGGAGTCTGGGTGTTCTCCACAACCATGGTTCCTTCCCTTGTTCCGCAGCATCTGATGTGCGCCGGACTGTGGTGCCTGGTAGAAGGAGACACATCCTGCAAGACCAAGCTGGACCCTCCCCTGGATGGCACCGAGTGTGGGGCAGACAAGGTAACCCCTGGCCTCCCGCTGCCCAACAGGCAGCTCCACACCTCCAGGCAGCTGACACTCTCCTCAAACACAGTCTTTACTCTACTAAGGAGCCCCAGAAACATCCCCAGGCACCACAGAAATGCCCATGGAGCCCACTCCAGGCACAGGTGGTGCCTACATCACCTTTCCTTTTTCTTATAAGATCCGGCCAGGCGCAGTGGTTCAGGCCTGTAATCCCAGCACTTTGGGAGGCTGAGGCAGGTAGATCACAAGGTCAAGAGACTGAGACCATCCTGGCCAACATGGCAAAACCCCGTCTCCACTAAAATAGAATCTGGGCATGGTGGTGCGCACCTGTAATCCCAGCTACTCAGGAGGCTGAGGCAGGGGAATTGCTTGAACCCGGAGGCGGAAATTGCAGTGAGCCAAGATCAGGCCACTGTACTCCAGCCTAGGCAACAAGAGCAAAACTCTGTCTCAAAAAAGATATAAGTATCAGTTACTTAATATGTTTGTTAGATTAACTCCTGTCACTGTGTAAGGGAATTTACTTAAAAGGAGCACTTGAAACCAGCATATTTTAAATGGAAAAACTACATCACCTACCATACACAGTAGGCTCTTGCGAAACGAATTCAGTGAGAACAGTATTATCCAATTCTAGCTAAATGCTGAGAGAAGTAGCCTGCTCCTGCTCTTTCCAATCTTTTTCTATTGTTTGATACCAAGTTTCCCTCTTGTTGCCCAGGCTGGAGTGCAGTGGTATGATCTCAGCTCACCACAACCTCCGCCTGCTGGGTTCAAGCAATTCTCCTGCCTCAGCCTCCCGAGTAGCTGGGATTACAGGCATGTGCCGTCACGCCCTGCTAATTTTTGTATTTTTAGTAGAGACAGGTTTCTCTATGTTGTCAGGCTGGTCTTGAACTCCCGACCTCAGGTGATCTGCCCACCTGGGCCTCCCAAAGTGATGGGATTATAGGCGTGAGCCACTGCGCCCGGCCTCTCTCCGGTCTTAATGCAGGGATTGAAAGAGTTGAAAAGGAAGTCAAGTTTAGCTCTGATGCTGTGATTGGGAACCATGAAGTTATACCCAGCACCTCAGGGTAGGTGCTGTGCACTTTGAGAAATTGTTTTATAGGGCTGGCCTTCTCTTATCCTCGGAAAGAACCAAGGTTTCCTCACGTGGAGCTGGCTTTCATCACCAAGCAACAAAACCCACTTTGAGGTTCAAAACCTCAACCAGGCATGCCGCCTCCCAGGAGAAACGCGCTCATGCCAAGCAAAGTTTGCGGAAGCCCAGGTCTCTTCAGAGCCATGTAAATTAGTCCTCTTCCTGGGATTTAGAAAATCTCAACGAGCACATCTATCTGAAAGCTTAGGGCAAAATGCAAACCCTACAGGGATATAAGTGTCAGCTTCGGTAAGGCATGTCACTAAAATCAGCAAACATGCAAACCCTGAAATAGACTGTACTTTTATGTAAATGTAGAAAGTGGGTTTTTCGCAGCATGGCGTTTCGGGGCTGGGTGGGCTGGAGTGAGCAGCTTTGCTGCATGCTGGGCCCCAGCCCTCCCCGCTGTGTTTCAGTGGTGCCGCGCGGGGGACTGCGTGAGCAAGACGCCCATTCCGGAGCACGTGGACGGAGACTGGAGCCCGTGGGGCGTCTGGAGCATGTGCAGCCGAACTTGTGGGACGGGAGCCCGCTTCCGGCAGAGGAAATGTGACAACCCCCCGTAAGTCTCCCCGACCAGCCATGCCTCAGCGTGCCGCAGTCAGGGTTTCCCAGCTGCAGCTCTGGCTGCCTCACACCAAGCAGGGTCTGTCTCCCACGGAGCATAAGAAGATAAGGAAAATGAAACCGAGCCGAGGTCCAGGGTGCGGGGCCTCGTGTGTGTCAAATGACGTCTCAGCTTAAATTGCTCTTTCTGTGAACATGGATACCGTAGAGTCTGGGTTGAGCTGACTCCCTCATTCCTTGCCGAGGCCCCAGTGGAAAGGTTTTCTGAGTCAGCTGGATTACTGTTCCTCCTGCCTGCCTCATCGTTTGCCAAGTCAAGGGTCATTCCCACAAAGCCTGGAGGCCTTCAGGAAAGAGGTTGACCTTCCCGTTGGCTGCCTGCTGATGTGGGAGCAGGCGGGTGGTTCATGAGTCACAGAGTGTCTGAGTTCAGCTGCCTTCTTCATCCTAAGAGTTTTCGTGGGTCCTTCTATAACTATCAGAAAAATAAGTGTCTTTTTCTTTCTCTTTGGCTTCTTTTTATTGACTCGAATGACACCATGGCCTTTCCTGTTCGCCTTTGTACATTTGTTCCAGGAAACTCAGGGATCGATTTTAGGCTCAGTGATGTTAATTCCATCACTACAGATTTTCCCTTGTCTTCTTGGAGCTTCCCACATTTCTTACCATTTGTTTTGTTTTTTTTTTTTTTCTTTTTGAGATGGAGTCTTGCCCTGTAGCCCAGGCTTGAGTGCAATGGTGCAGTCTCGGCTCACTGTAACCTCCGCCTCCTGGGTCCCAGGAGTAATTCAAATAATTCAAGTAATTCTACCTCGGCCTCCCAAGTAGCTGGGTTTACAGGTGTGTGCCACCACATGCGGCTAATATTTGTATTTTTAGTAGAGACGGGGGTTTCGCCATGTTGACCAGGTTGGTCTTGAACTCCTGACCTTCTGATCTGCCCACCTTGGCCTCCCAAAGTGTCAGGGTTACAGGCGTCAGCCGCTGCGCCCAGCCACTGTTTCTTTTAATGGTCTCTTTTGTGCCTGGTGTGTCAGCAGCTGCATCACATCAGTTCTGAAAGTGAGCAAGTTATAAATAATGACTATAGAGAAATATCCACAGTTAAGTCCTGTTGATGGATAATTAGCAAATGCCTCTTGTGTTTAAAAATCCTGATGCTCAGGTCATACCCCAGACTGATGAAATCACAGAACACTAGGGGTGGGCCCAGGAATTGGATGTTTTATCTTCCCAGGTGACTCCAGCAGCAGCCAGCGTTGGGAGCTGCTGGGTTACAGGAAGGCTTATGCTCCGGTGTAGTCAGTGACAGGAAGACGATCTTCCCAGCAATGTTAGAAGAATTGACATTATGTATCATGTCTTACTGAAACATTTCCCTCTAGCACACATCAGAGTGCAGGGCACAGAGCAGGTGATTAGTTTATTAGGAATGACTTTTTTTTTTTGAGGTAGAGCCTCGCTTTGTCACCCAGGCTGGAGTGCAGTGGCACGATCCTGGCTCACTGTAGCCTCTGCCTCCCAGGTTCAAGTGATTCTCCTGCCTCAGCCTCCCAAGTAGCTGGGATTACAGGTGTGTGTCACAATGCCAGCTAATTTTTGTATTTTTAGTAGAGACGGGGTTTTGCCATGTTGGCCAGGCTGGTCTCGAACTCCTGACCTCACGTGATCTGCCCACCTTGGCCTCCCAAAGTGCTGGGATTACAAGCATGAGCCACCACGTTCAACCCAGAAGTGACTTCTTAATTAAGGGCATAGATAGGTACATGATTAGAAACCCTGTTTAGCTAAATGGTGGGAAATTATTAGAGAGTGGTGGCAGTTTTTGCATCATTCTGTGTTGAAGTTAATAGTTTGACCCCTGGCCCTGTGAAGAGAGCATTAGGTTTGGTGTCATGGTGCTGAGATTTGGGCCTGACCTTGTTGGTTAACGGTCATGTGACCTCAAGGAAGACCCTTCTGTTCCCAGGCCTTAGTTCCGCACAGTAAAAGCAGCTGATGTGGTAGAGTGGGAAGAGCCAGGCCTCAAAGCCAGGACAGACACATCTTCACATCCCACCACAGCTTCTTACAGCACTGACGGCTGCTTCTCTCTTCATCTAAAACCTGGAAGAATTCATGGGAATGTGCAGAAAGTCTGTGGTGTGTATTTAGAAAGCAACCCCTCTCGTTAGCACAGACAGAAGAATGGGATGGGACTCACTGCCCTTCCCTGCCTCAGGCTTTGCTAAATGCAGAGGGAATTGTCAGGGGTTGCTGTTGCCATGGGCGTCCTGTGTTTGTGACTGGAGTTCGTGGGTCCTAGTGGAAGACTGGTCTTTTTGGCATGTGATGCTTCTTATCCCGTAACCGGTGACACCCAGTAAACGTTATAGCAGGAGGAAGAACCTCTGAACGCCTGAAGGACCCAGTGTCCTGAGACTGTCAACATTTAAATTGTCTAGGTGAGGGCAACACTTGCAAGAGTACAACGTTCTGAACACTGCAGATGCCGTCGGTGCCTCCTTGAAGCGAACTGGTGTTGTCGCTTTCCTGGGGCGGCTTTAACTAGGGCATCCCCCCATGCGTAGCCTGAAAGCAAGGCTTGGAGCTTTTCGGCTTCATGTCTTGGCTGGACCGCTGTCACTTTCTGAACTGCTTCCTGCCCTGCCCACCTGCGGTTACTCTCGGATACCACAGGAGCGTTTTGCTCTGGGAGGATCCGGAACACAGACAGCCCAGTTCGGACAGCTGCGCTCATGCACTCTCCCTGGCCTTCCCTGCCGTGAGGTTTCTTGTGCTGGGATCCTCACCCCATTCCTCCAGGTCCAGTGGCCCCAGGAGAGAGGCTGTTCTGTAAATTGCAAAGTTGGAAAACTCTTGGACTCCTCTGCTTCACCAGGTCCTCCCCTCTCCCTTGCCGTGGTGGTCGCGACTGTGCTCTCCCTGGCTTTTTCCTCTGTTACCACTGAGGAATGGGAGAATTTCTAGGGCCTTGGCGCACGGACGGCTGAGGGTTTATGGGTCTCAGCACACTGGATTGTTACAGGCATTGCTGCACCTTCATGTCCAGTCTCTGTTGCCCAGCAGCAGTCTCCTGTGGGGCAGGGCGATGGTGGGAGGAACAGAAAGGGCCTGTCGCGCTCTCACTTCTCCCAGCCCACGTCCCTTCCTGGTGAAGCCTTTCCAAGGCGAAGCCTTCAGTAAGCCTCGCCCGGGCCTGAACTCTGCTAGGTGTGGGCCTGCAGTGAGAAGCAAAGACGAAATCCCTGCCTACCACAAGGGATGCAGTCCTGCCACCTCCTCTTGCTTTTCCCCCAGACGCTTCAAACAGGACCCTTTCTAACTTGGGACCTCCTTTCCCAGCCCACATCTCCCCTCTCAGTAAACAGCACCACCATCCATGCACTGCTTGAGTCCAAAGCCCCTGAACCCACGCAGCTTCCTCTTACGTCCTTTCCACCTCCTCCGTGTCTGGTCATGGGAGGGGTAGTGAATGCAGCAGACCCACACCACGCGCCGGGTTCACTTAGGCAATTATGTAGCAAATCATGGAATGCAGCCCTATGGGAGAGAGATTATTTTTGTCTTCATTGTACAGAAAAACAAAAAAAAAACAGTCGGGGCCTGGCTCAGTGGCTGACGCCTATAATGTCAGCACCTTGGGAGGCTGAGACGGGTGGATCACCTGAGGTCGGGAGTTCAAGACCAGCCTGGCCAACATGGTGAAGCCCTGTCGCTACTAAAAACACAAAAATTAGCGCGGCATGGTGGTGCGCACCTGTAATCCCAGCTACTCGGGAGGCTGAGGCAGGAGAATCGCTTGAATCTGAGAGGCGGACGACAGAGCACACAGAGCGAGACTCCATCTCAGTTAAAAACAAAAACAAACCTGGATCAGATTGAAGTTTGGTAACTTGCCCAGGGTCACACAGTGAGGCCGTGGCTGGCCAGGCTTGGAGCCCGGCTCTAGAAACCAGAAGTCCAGAGTCAAGGTGTCAGCACAGTTGCTTCCTTCTTGAAACTCCAAGGGTGAATCCGTTTCGCGGCTCCCAGCAACCCTTGGCCTCCCTGGCTTGGAGACGTCCCACTTCTCTCTCTTCCTCTGACTTCACATGGTCTCTTTCCCTGTGTCCTCCCAGCTTTCCTTCCCTTAGAAGAACGCTTGTCATTGGATTTAGGCCCACCTGAATCCAGGATGATCTCAAGATCCTTCGCTTCATGACGTCTGCCAAGACCCTTTTGCCAAATAAGGTCTCATTTGCAGGTTCCAAGTGAACCTGTCTTTTGGGGGTGGGGGACCCACCATCCAGCCCTCTGCAGCCTCGAAGCCTCCTTTGTGCTCCTCTGCTGCAGTGTTCCTTCCAGCCCCAGGGCTGGCTCCCTTTCCTTAGTTGCCCCTGCGCTTCCCGCTCTGGCCGCTCGCAGTTACTCTAAGACACCACAGGAGCATTTTGCTATGGGAGGATCCCAGACACAACCCGGTTCAGACAGCTGCAGTTTCTCCCCAGTAAGAGAAGCTGTACCTTTCTGAGCTCTGTTTTCTGTTGTGAACAAAACAACATGCTCTTTTTTCCCTAGTAGTTTTCTTTTATTATTGTTATTATTATTATACTTTAAATTCTGGGATACATGTGCAGAGCATGCAGGATTGTTACACAGATATACATGTGCCGTGGTGGTTTGCTACATCCATCTCCCCATCCTCTACATTAGGTATTTGTCCTAATGCTATCCCTCCTCTATCCCCTCACCTCCCGACAGGCCCCGGGATGTGATGTTCCCCTCCCCGTGTCCCTGTGTTCTCATTATTCAGCACCCACTTATGAGTGAGAACATGCGGTGTTTGGTTTTCTGTTCTTGTGTCAGTTTGCTAAGAATGATGGTTTCCAGCTCCATCCATGTCCCTGCAAAGGACATGAACTCATCTTTTTTATAGCTGCGTAGTATTCCATGGCGATGTATATGTGCCACATTTTCTTTATCCAGTCTATCATTGATGGGCATTTGGGTTGG